GCCTATTGTAATTAGTAAATGGGCTTCTTTAGTCTTGGACCCAAAGATCAATATATATTACCAAGTTGGAGACCAAACAAAATAATACACACAACACACATACATCAGACAAGGAGTAGAGAATGAGAGAGTGAGGGAAAACTAAGGTTTTGGTTTCTTCTTGCCAACGATCGGAGGTCCATTTGTGGTCCGATTTTACTGATATTTTAGTATGTTGTTCCTGGCAAAGAGGGCTACATTTTGATCGGAGCTGATCATCCAGATTCCTCTTCATTTGTCTGGGCTTTGCACACTTATCTGTGAGATTTTCCTTATTATTGTGTGCATTTATCTTTATGANTAAAAATCGCAATCAAATGAAAGCCCACATAATAAAATAATTCCAACATGATAATCTTTGAAATTCTCTTAAAATCCTTGATTGGTCATAGACATAAATGATTATAGCTCTAGTTTTCAAGATTCAAACATTTTAAAACAACAAAAGCGTGCTACTAAGTATCAAATTTTGTCATATTTCAGTATAGGACAAGATTGGTTTAACGCGAAGTTGACCCTAATGAATAACGGGAAAAAAGAATGGGAGCCAAATGGGACATAATATATATAAAATTGATGATAGAGGAGAACGGAATAAAGAGTGAAAGAATCTATTGCACTAAAAATAATTTTATTGTCTTGCATGAAAATTGTTGGTGGAATAACTATTAGAAAAAATTAGTTTCCATAGTCTGGAAAAGAATTCCACTTATTCATTAGTTGATAGTATTTTACCTAAAATTAAATATAGTACTTATTGAAGTAATGCATGATCACTTGTCACTATGTATTAATATCAGCAGTTATATGCATAAATGAAGTTTCTTATCCCCCGTTTGAGATCCAATTTTGGGTTAAAACGTGTTTTAAAATAGTCATTTTTTTTTAAAAAAAAACGCGTGGTTTAAAAATACGAAAAAGTTTTTATCCTCATGCGTGTGATTTGAGAAAATGGACTCTATTTGGAGACTTCTTCCATTTAACCTTTGCTATTATGTTGCATTTATCCTCAACCCAAGTAGCTATTCTTCTCCAGCTTCCCAACCGGAGTAAGCCCTCTCTTTGTACCGATATTAACAAGTTAATCTGCTAATTATTTGTTTCCTTATCAACAATTATGGGTAATCTGTATTTTTAAATGATGAATTTCCTCTAAGATGTACTAGACCGACCAAGGCCCTTTACCTTTTTGGTTGATCGAAGTTACTGAGAATATCCATCTAGAAGCATACTCTGAGGTCGGTGACAAGATCTTTCAACTCAGCTTCTAAGATAGAACAACATCCATAGATGATGTTAGCCATCACCATTATTAAAGCGTCATCACATTTTACCATCGTTACCAAGACTCTGCGTTTGGTCGCAATTATGGAATTTGCAAATAAGAAAATAAATTTTAAATAATTCAATTTCTTAGAACTTATATATATGAACATTATTCATTAAATTTCTTTGATTAATTTAGTTTCCAACTTAAAAAATATTATACTTGTCTATTTTTTATTGGTGGGTAAATGAGAAATAATAGATAGATGAGAGAGATCAAAAGTGAAAGTTATTAGTCTGATCTTAAAATCATCTAGAAGGGGGTGAATATGTGAACAATGAGTAATTAAAAATTATTGTTGATTAATATTGAAATAAGTTATAATAATTAATTACTCTAAATTCAGTTCACCGGAATTAACTACCTTTTGTTGAATTGTCAACTTGTATGAAATCAATAATGTAAACAACACAAAGAATTAATGACGTAGAAAACCCTTAACTTAGTAAAATCAAGTCAATAGTTTCCACTATAGACAATAAGAATTTACAGTTTAATCCAAGGGAAATTATAAAAAATTAGGGGTTTAAAGATAGTTTTTTAAAAATTAGGTCCAAAGTTTATTTATTCAAAATTCAGGTAATATATCAAAACTTTAACCCTAATTCATCACTATCAACTCCCTCACCCCTCTATCTCTCTCGCCTCACTTCCCTTCCCCCTCCTCTCTCTCTCTCTCGCTTCACTTTTCCCCCACCTCTCTCCGCCTCTCTCTCTCCCCTCTCTGTCGCACCGCCTTGTCATCGAAGACCACAGTGGAACTCGTCGCTGTGCAGTGGTGCTTCGATATGCAGCGGCGCTTCATCTCCATCG